ATTTAATTAATTAAAAAAGGTTAATATTATTCATTCATCATTTAAGAAAAAATTTAAAATATATATATTAAATATTAAAAATAATTAAAAAACATACTAAAAAAACCAAAAAATTATAATGAAATATATTTTAAAAAATTATATTTATTAAAGTATTAAAAATATTTTGTAATATATAAGTTAAAAAAATTACCATTAAAATTTTTAAAAATTATTAGTTTTGTAATTTATACACAATGAAAATAAATTACAAATATTATAATATATTGGTATATTAGTATAGTATAGTATATTTGTATTCTAATTTTTGATTAAACTAAAATTACGCTTATAATGTATAATAATATATGAGGGGATAATAAATTTAATCCAATTACTTATGTATATATCATTTTTTAACTTTTTTTTTTCTTTTTAAACTTCTCACATTCTACATTTTTTTTTGAAAACTCTATCATTTCTACTACATTATCATCCTCATCTTCTCCTATATTCTATTTTATCTTTATAATAATTAATCTTCTTTTTATAGGATACTTTATTTTCTATTTTTATTATTTATTTTCTTATAATTTAAAATAATTAATATTATTTTAATATTTATTTTTATGATTTTTACTATAATAAATCAAATAAAATGGTTTGATAATATCAATTAATTAAAATCATCACATCAAAAACTTAGATAACTACATTAAAATTATTAAGTTTAAAAATATAAAATATATTTTAAAAAATACTAAAATTATAGATTGGAAAGAAAATAGAATAAACAAATAATTTTTACTTTATATTATATTTATGTGTGTGCACAAATGTTGACCTTCTTAACTATAAAGAAACAGTAAAAAAATATAAAGATAAAATTTGAAGAAGTGAATTTTGAAGATAAAGACTATTTTTATATAAATTTATTCTAGTATATCAATTAACAATACTAATACATAAAATTTTAAAACTAAACTAAAAAAAAGTAAGTTTAAATTTATAAAAAAATACATTACTAAAAGTATCATATTATATTAAGATTTTCATTATTTTCGTAATTATAAATTTAAATGTGTTTCATAAATAAAATTATAAATTTAAATGTAGTTCCACTTTTGATCCATCATAAATAAAAATAAATAGTCTCTTATAAATGTTGTTCTATTTTAATCCATCATTAAATTTGTTTTATATTATTTGATACAAGTATTTAATTTTTTTATTTATTTTATTTTTACATATTTTTTAACTTCAAATTTATTTTTTATTTTTATTATTTATTCCTATAATTTAAAGTAATTAATATTATTTTAACATTTACTTTGATGATTTTTACTATAACAAATCAAATAAAATCATTTGATAATATCAATTAATTAGAATCATCACATCAAAGATTTAGATGACTAGATTAAAATTATTAATTTTAAAAAATATAAAATATATTTTAAAATAAAAATAATAAAATTATAGGTTGAGAAAAAAAAATTAGAATGAACAAATATTCTTCATTTATAATATATTTAAGTGTATCAATTTTGACCTTCATAACTATAAAAAAATAGTTGAGAAATGTGAATATAGAAATTAGAGAAGTGAATTTTGTAGATAAATTTTTTTTATAAATTCAAGCACTCATATAGAAAAGAAAAGACATGAAAGAAGAAAAAATGAATTTGATGACTTATCATATTATTACAAATTTTGATGAAATAATTATGTATAATACTTTTTTAGTATATTATGTTTTTAAATTTGCTAATAGAGAAAAAAGTTTCAGAATTCAAAATATTAAATATTTTTAAATATTAAAATTGACTTTATAAAAAATTAGGAAAAAACAATTAATCCAAAAATATAATAATGATAAAAATATTATAAAAAAGAGTTTAAAAATGTATTATAATATTTTCAATTTTAGTTTAATTATATTTTTAATTCTCAAAGTAGAAAAATATATTGTAATTATTTTAATTTAATAAAATATAATTTAAAATTTTAATACTAAAATTAAGAGATTAAATAATAATAAATTTAATTCTTTAAATTTAGTATTTAGAAACTAAAATTATAGTTTCTCTGTTTTAAAAAAATTAAAATAAATATTTAAAAATAAAAATAAAAGTTAGTATTATCTTAAATTTATTAAAAGTATAATTAAATTTTCATTTTCTTATCCAATTTTAGAAATTTTTTAATAAAAATATAATATATAAAAAAGTTGAAATTTTAGAAAGGCATAACCTTAACTTACATTAACTGATTATTTTGAAAAAACTGACAAGAAAAACTGGGCTTTGGAAAAAAAAGTTAATAATTTTGAAGTTATTTCAGTGATTAAGTTTCTAAGTGTGATCTATGCATTTATTAAGCAAAATTGGAGGTGTGTTGAATATAAATTTAAATATATTTTTAATTTATTTAAATATGGTTTATTTTTAGTATTTTAAATTTTTAACTTTTCTAGCAGTCTATTTTTAATCTTTGTTATTAATTTTGTTAAAAATGAAAAATATTAATTAGTATATTTAAAGTAAAAAATATTTCAACTAAAGATAAATATATTTTTATAAATAATTTAATTAAATAATATATTTATTATCTAATGTATATCAATTATATTTTGATATAAAATTTTTTTCTGGTATATCAATTATATGAAAACAACCATGGTTAAGCAATTAATATTAATAAAGTAATAAATTTAAAAACTAGATTAAAAATAAAGTATTATAAAATAAAATTGTAATAATTTGATTGAAATTGTAATTTTTTTAATTAATTAAGTTAATGAGGAATTAAAATGTGATAATTTGATGGGTTAAATTTTTGTAATATAAATTTTTAAAATATAATTTAATTTTAATTGAAATTTTTAATTGAAAAATATATTAAAAAATAATTGTTATTAAACTTTTTCAAATGTATTGAATAGTTAATATCACTATAGTCTTAATTTATTACAATTTAAATTTTTAATAAATTTGATTTATTTTTAATAATATTTTTATTTTAGTAATTTAAAATTAAAGTTAATCTTCATTTTGTTAATATTGAGACTAAAGTTTATTTTTAAAGTATATTTTAAAAACTAAATTATTTTTAAAAAATAAATTACTTTTAAAGAAAAATATAATAAAGCAATTAAAGTATATTTATAAAAAAATAAATTTAAATATAATAAAAAATTAATTTTCATTAACGATCGATTTTAATTTGGTCACTATTTTCTCATTAGCGACCGATTTCAATTTGGTTACTATTTTAATTTGTAATTCTACGATCGTTAAATGATTTTTTTATTTTAGTATGGAATAACAACCGATTTAACGATTTGAAATTTTGTGACGCAAATTATTAGTCGTTATTTTCGATCGTTAAATAAAAAAGTGAAATCAAATCATATTTTGATGGTAAAATCGATCGCTATTTACAATCGAATTAAATCGATCGCTAAATCACAACCAAATTGAATCAGTCACTAAATTATGATCGAATTAAATCGATCACTAATTTTAATCGGTAAAAATATTTTTTCTTATAATATTTTATGTGAGATATAACTAGATATCAGTGATTCAACATCCATAATATAGTTACAAACTAAAATAATTCCTTTCTAAAAATTTCATCATTGATATGGAATATTTAAATTAATGTTGATTTTACATTACTAATTTAAAATTAACATCATTTTGAATTAATAAGAATTATTAATATTTATAAAAAATGTTGTTCAAAAGCATAAAAAATTATAAAAAATATTATAAAAATAAATAATTAAATTAATTATATATATCAAAATATCAATAATTTAAAAATAATTAAACCATAAAATTTTTGAACAATAATAAATTAAAACAAAAAGTAAAAAAATTGATTAGCCACCATATATATATATATACATATATATATACATACATATATATATATATATATATATATATATATATATAATGTAAAAATGGATTAGAGGATAACAGATTTCTTACCATGAATAATAACTTGATACATTTTGATGAATAAAATGAGATTAATAGAAATCTCCATACAAAGTATAATGATCTCACTCTATCTAGAAAGAGAAAGCAAGATCAGCACTGCCTTAATAGATTATGCAAGAGATTGATAAGGCAGCTGCACTTACTCATCTCAAACTCTTGCCCTAAGGCGGCACAACACTCTACCTCTCTCTCTCATTATTTTATTATATTGATATTAATAATAAATATAATATTTAAAAAACAATACTAAATATTAATTATAAAATGATATTACAAAATAATATATATTAATAATTAAATTAATTTATTAAAAATATTATTATTTTTATTTCCTTTCAAATTTCAATCCATAAATACAATTAGAGATATTTAGATAGATGAATGAATTGGAATTGAAAATTCAGGGTGGATAGTGGCGTGTTTTTCACATGCCTTAATTTGGTTGGCATCACTCAATCACTTGCCAAACAAGTTCCCACCGCAAAACAAAATATTCCAACCGGACCCACCCTGTCAATCATACATCCCACCCTTCTGATTTTACTTCAATTTGAAGGACACAGACAAAAACGGTTCTGTCCTTTCTGTCTTCCTACATCACCAACTCTTTCACACTTTTTTTTTTTTAAGGTTTCTCGTTCATTCTTCTAATCACTAATCACTACTCTTTACCATGAAAAAAAAAATCATTCACCTTATTAACCAAACTCGTCAACAAATAAACTTATAATTTTAAGCAAATTAGTAACTATTTGGACACATTCCCACCAATATATCATAAAAGCACTCTTTTTCGCCTTCTGTTTCAAGTTCTGTACAGTGCCAACATTATTTCTAATTTTAACCCTTAAGGAAAGGGAAATTAAAATTTACTTTAACTACAAAATAAAATAAAACAAAAAAGTTAACACTGTTTCTCTTTTGCTTTCCCACTTTCCCTACCCTGTGATTCACCCTTCATGTCCAGTTGGCTTGGTTCGAGTCTCCAAGCGACACCGTTTCTTGTCATCACTCGATGTTGCTGATTCCCATGCGCTTCACCACCGCGTTTCCAATGGCTTCCGCTTGTATTCTCAATCCATTCTTCTGTTCCATCCCTGACATGTAACTCCTCACTTCCATCCTTATCATCTCTTGCATCACTCTCAAAAACTCTGCGTTGAACAGTTGCTTCCCACGCTCCTCCACTGTCGCCACCGCTGGCGACGGCGACTGCGATGCTGGCTGCTGTACAGCCACAGGGTTAGGCGTGTAGCCGGAGCCAAAGCCGGGGAGAGACAAACTAAGTGACGTGGCTGGATCGGATAGGGAAGAAGCGGTTTCCATGAGATTGGGCCTGCAATGGGCCGAACCAGAAGGGGTAGACAACGCGGGCTGACCGGGATCGCTTAAATCAGACCCGGATGGACTGCTCGGGTTTAAGTAACCGGCGCCGACGCTGGCAGATCTTTTCAGTGGTGGTCGATCCGTTTCGTCGAGACTAACCGTGGAGCATTTTCTCTTGAGAGTGGAGTTCCAGTGGTTTTTGACAGCGTTATCAGTGCGGCCGTTGAGTAAACGAGCTATAGTGGCCCACTTGTTACCAAACCTGGCATGGGCCCTGATAATAGCTTCATCCTCCTCCGGCAAGAACGGGCGGTGCTCCACCTCCGGCGAGAGCTGGTTACACCATCGCAGCCGGCACGATTTCCCGGAACGACCAGGAATAGACTTGCTTATCGCCGTCCAGTTCCTCGGTCCATGGGTCTGCACGAGTCTCTGCAACGCCTCGTCTTCCTCCGGGCTCCAGGGGCCCTTGACCCGATCCATGTCCCTGCTTTCCGATGTCATGCTAGCAGAGTTGAATCATACAATCTTTATAAACAGAATAAAGAAAATATGAAAATTAAAAATTACGAGAGGGAGCGTGGCGTGGTTTGTGAGAAGAAGGGTGGGGTTTGGGGGAGAAATAGAAAATGCAAAAGCGATAAGGATGACCGGTTGGGCTGGTTGATGTAACCGGTTGGGGCGGTTGGCAAAGCAGTTACTAGCATACAGCTGGCAAACCAACACGCATGGGAGTTGGAGTCTGTTCACGGTTACACGTATGGTCACGCTATCGGTGTTGCCTGGTGTTTTCCATTATAGTAATAACTAATTAACTAATCTCCTTGCTATACTCATATTTAAATTATTAAATTAATACTAATATTAATTAAATTAAAATAATCACACCGTACCCAAAAGAATGAATGCATTCTTTCAATAATATCTCCTTCCATTGACCATGACTGTTCAACAGTTACCCTATCTAAAATTTATGTTAATTAATCATTAATAACTCATAACTAAAACGAGTAGAGTTAAAAAATGAAATATTTGTTATTTTAGATTTTAAAACACTGTTTAACAGAAAAACTTAACGGAAAGATAACAACTCCCCGTTACAAATCGTCTTTAAATCTATAATTAAACCTTGATTGGCTACTATTATAGTTGTTTTTATTTCAAATAAAATATAAAATAACCAATAATTAATACCTGTATATTGAGACTGATCTTATTAGTTAAAAGTTGAACTTTTGTTGAGAAATAGTTTTTATATTTTTACTTATCTAGATGTAATGGACTTTTATTCTTAATTTTAGTTGTTTAAAAATAACTGTAAAGTTTGATATTTTTTACTTGAAAAAAATAATCATAAATAATTGAGTTTATTTTTTTCAATGTAAATGTCTCTCTTCTTCAATAGGTTAAACATTTAGTATTTTGTATGAGCATAATTGTCCAAAATAAAAAAAACAATTTACTCTATATATTTACCACTTAAATTTTTAAAACAATATTAATATTATTTTGTGTTTTTATCTCTATTTAATTTTAAAAAATTTTATTCATTTATCGTAAATAATAATTGTAGTTCTTCCAATACAATCTCTGTCAAATTTTGGACTTTTATAAAAAAAAAAACAAATAGACAGGTAAACTGAAATTGAAAAACAAAAATTAAGATTTATTTTTTTCATTTGAAACATAACAAAATTGAGACGGTATACATTTTTGAATGAATAAATTATAACAAAACTTTTGTATTGTCCTGGAGCTTTTATTTTATCCAAACAATAATATTAATAACAAAAATAAATTAATAAAATAAAATAAATTTAAATATATATAAAATTAATTATCTTTTATATTGTGTATATTATCTCCCTAACATGACAAATAAAAAAAGAAAAACGAAAATAATAGGAACTTACCTTTGACCTTTGTTAATATTTGGGAACTAAGAATGAACCCGCCAAAAAAAAGTCAGGATGCATTTGTCCTAAATACTGGATGGATCTGAACAGGAACCTCCAAGAAATAAATTGTTATTTTATGAATAATAATCCAAAATATTTGAAACAGTCAATTATTTGAAATATAATTATTGTAATTTTTAATTTTATAACTTAAACATTAAAGGTATAATCTGATTAACATTTTTTTATTTTAAATTTTTCCAACTAAACAAAATCTCAATTTTCCTATGAAAACTGTATAATTCTTTCTATTTTTTACGTAAGAAAAATATTTAAATACAGTTCATCCCTTAACTTTTTATTAATTTTATTTTTAAATATTATTAATTTAATATAATTTTTCATTTACTCATTGGATGTTTTTTTAACATATAAAATCACGTTATTATCTACTACATAAAAACAAATCGAGGTAAGAGTTATACAAAATAAAATAAAAAATAACATATTTTAAAGATGAGAGAATTAAAAAAAATTACAATATTTTAAAAATACGATTTTTTTAAGAATTAAATATTATTTGTTGTGAGAACAATTAAATTATTCTAAGACATGCAGAAAGAAAGATAAGAATTGGAAAAGTAAGGATGAGCTGTGTGAGAAAAGGACATAGTGAAGTAACGGCGAGTGATAGTGTATATGGGGATCAACGCTACTAATTTTATGTCAGCAAATTCCAGCCTGTCATGACCCTAAAAGTCACCCACTCCTAACGGCTTTCTTTCCCATGACACCAGTTACTTTCCACCAAAACATAGTAATGAGTTTAAAATTTAAAGATGTAATAAAATTTAATTTGAATCAAATTAGGATTATTATTTTAAAATTTTAATATAATAATATCAAATAAAATAACATATATGAATTTATAAAATTAAAAATATATTTAAAATTTGTTATAAGTTGTAATATAAAAAAAATTATATAGAAGAAAACAAATTGAAAATATAATATTTATGTTTAATAATAATAATAATATAATAATAATAATAATAATAATAATAATAATAAATGTTTTAATAATTATAAATTTCTTAAAATATTTTATTACGAAAGTGTATGTGTTATGAGTTAATGTATTGAATTTTTCAACTCAATTTCTTTAGTTTTTCTCAAATCATTCAATTAACATTTTGTTTTTAAACGTTTAACCCCTCTAAAAAACTGACTCATGTTCAGTTTAATTAATTCAACGAGTTAATAGGATTCCATTTTTAACAAATATTTTCCACTTTTTCTTTCAATTTTCGAACATCTGTGTCATACTTTCCTATTCAGTCTTAATTTTATCATTCTTTTACCATTTGTTTATGAATAAATAATAAAATGTTTAGTGAATAAATTAAATATTTTTTACGAGAAAATATTTATTTATTAAAATAAATAAAGACTCATTTTTAAATTTTATTATTCATTTTCTAATAATTTAATGGTGTAATGTAATAATTCTATCTTAACTACTTATTTATATATTTATTCTTAAATAATTGAATATTTTTTAAATTAATAAAATAGGTTAATCCATAAATATGTTTTAATAAAATGGGCTACTCCATAAATTTACTAACTAACGTGTCTTAAGTTTATCTAAATTATAAATTGAATAGATTGAAATAAAATTTATCTGATTAATTTAAATCATTAATTACTTTTTGGCAAAGATAACAAATCATCTATCAAATTGGTTATCTTGTGTGATTATTTTTTGTTATTAAAAATGTGTATGTAATGAACATTTATTTTTGTTATCTTTTTATATATAATACAAAATTGTTTTCTTTTAGTTATCATTTTTTTAATTCTCTATCTTTGAGAACTCAACAATTTACTTCTTTTATGGGAAGCAATTATGAGATAATATCAACTTAAATAAATTTAAGATTTGGAGTCAATTAAGAATAGAAAATTAGAAATTGAGAACAACATAGAGAAAATCTTAATAAATGAAGGCACCACAAACAAAGTTTAATAAGTCTAAGAGTGATCGCTACAAGAATTTGTGAATATTTTATAAGATCAAAAATACAAGAAAGAACCTAACAGATAAATATTCTCACTTTACCAAGAATCACTTGTTGTCTATTTTCTCAATTTAATAATCATAAATAAATAAAATTTAGGGTTTATAATTTTATTGGCCTTGACTTTGTTTATAATAAAAAGAAACTCAAAAGAATTAAAACTAATCAAATATTAAACTAAGGGACTCGAGTTCAAATCTCAACTCCACCAAAATAAAAATAAATAAATTTTATTTTAACTCTCTAAGTCTATTGTATATTTAACCAACTTAGCCTCTTCAGTGAATTGAATCTTTGACTGTTGGACCTCTCATAAAAGAGTCACCTTCTGTTGTAAAACTTCGGGGGTCTTTCTAATCCTTCCTCTAGTAATTGGTCAAATTAAGTCTTCAATTATATTTTTCATCTTTCTTCTTATGGTCTTGGCCTTTTATGTCCACATCATGATCTCTCGTATTAAAAGTCTTCTTAAAGTGGTTCAAGGGAAGTCTGTTATGTTGTTTGAACGACAATACAAGTATGAACCATCATTGGGGTATTCTTAGATGAAAATGCTTTAAAGTCAAGGGGAGACAACTATATGTGGATGAGACTCATACTCGAGCAAAAAATGTTGTAAGATGTTGATAACACATATTTTGTACATATACTTATAATTTTATTATATAGTGAATACACTTTCCACATGCTTTATTTTTAATTTTAAACATATTTTCATTTAATAATAATAAATTGGGTTCAACGTATTTATTTGTTTTCATTTTGTAGTTTAACTAATTTGACTTTTGCTCACTATTTTAATCATAACTTTTTGTAGGTATTACTTTTTACCAATTCAAGTTACATTGGATTATACATTTCTTGGGTTTTCAAATGGATGTATGGTTTTTGGATTTGGAGTATTATTCTATTTTCTACTATTTTTATAAGTTATGATAAATTTGCTAAACTTTTGTAAAGAACCCATGCAGATTACATTTTCTTTTTATTAACTTAACTTTTGTAATTAAACTTTGGACCTAATTAGAACCCACATTTAGGTTTTTGTTTGATTCAAACTTGAAAGCATATAAATAAATTAAATATGCTCTAAATTCATATAAAGAAATCATTTTATTTGTTTTTTAGTTTCGGAAGTATCTTTACATTATCTCTTTTCTCTCTTCTCTCATTTTCTTTTTTACTCTTTCAATCATTCGTTTTTGTTTCAGGTCTGAATTGCTCTTCAATTCTTTCTTTATAGAAAACTAAAATTTGAGAATTGATTCACAAAATAAAAAACAAAGTCAATTGAGTTTTGCATCAATTGTTTCTCTTTTCGAATTTGTTCTTCTCTTCTCTAATTTTAATTTTGTACTTTGTGATATCAATTTGTGATTTTGTTTAGTCAAATAAGGAATCAATTAGATCTTGATTTGACAATTAAATACAAATTAGATTGAATGATCTTGAGATTTAATTCATATAACCAAATTAGTTGATTAATTGAATTTATAAATTATTCAAAGTTGGATTGAAATATTTA